TGTCCATTTTTCTTTTCATGGCCGCTGATGCTTCCAGTCAGTGCTGCGAGAAAGTCATAGATAAATGAATACTGTGATCTAATCTCAACGTGTCTAAGGCTTAAAATGCAGCAACTTCATTTTTATTTTACAGTTAATGTTACAAAGGAACAACAAGTCAGTGTTAACTGTGGATAGACTCAGTTAGGAACTTAAAAGTAAATGACAGAAACGCGCGACTACGATCAAAACATTGATGTCAGGAAAATAAACTGTATAGCTTACCTTCGTCTCTTAGCGTCTTCTCCGTTTGGCGTCCTCAAGAATTTCTTCGGGTCCCATTTAAACTATTTTTAATCTTTTATTCAAAAATCCACCGGGTAAACAGTTCTGTCCACACAGTGTGCTGCGCTCTAAAGGCTCCGTGTGAAACGCTGCAGCGCATTAGTTCCCGTCTCCGAGGCAGCGCGGGGGGAAAAAAGATCCAATCTCTTCAGCACAGGGGTCATAACAGGGGCCAGGGCCGGATCTACAGGGGCCCAGGCCCCTGTGGGCCCCCGTTTAAAACCGCCATATTAATCCCAGAGGGAAATTAGAGTTTCAGTACACACAATTCAGAGATCAGACATACATGGGCAAGACACATGACAAGAATTGGTGAATGTGGTCATTCGCAACCCTGAGTCGCGCTACCTTAATAGAGACAAGAGGGTTACATGAGGATTGGTTCAGGTGGAGGGGAAAAAAAGGCACTTCAGAGTTACCCTCCCACCAGGAGGGCAGCTTTGCTCTGCAAAAAAACACCTCAGACAGATATGCAACAGACTTCAGACAACACAACATAAGTGTCCACTAGGTGGGGTGGTGGGTTGGGACTATCCCAACTTCAGTTCCTGCAGCCATGAAGCAGCGCATGTCACCTCAGTGTGGATGGGGGAGGAGCATTGAGGGTAACATTTTTAAAATACATTTATTAACAATAAAGAGGAAGATAAAAGCTGAACTGTGTGTTCAACAGAACACAACAACTGAATATGGAACACATGCAAATTTCCCAGTGATTACAATAAAACCTTAAGGTTTGGATGTGGTTTGCATGAGTGAAGCCTGAGCCATTGATGGACTCAAGGAAGAAAATCTCCCTGTTCTTAGGCTTCAGAATCTGTAAAAATGCATCATTAGAAAGGTGAAACCCACTACAAAGCAAAGACATGCTAAATAAAGTCTAGCAGCCAATTGACAATTAAAAAAGCGTGATGTAGCTGTCAGTTGTTTGTTTATTTCAAACACTTTGAAGAATTTCCAGCCGGAGGCACTGTTGTCTAATCAGTAGCTGACTGATCCTGTGTGAAACCCATCGACATAAATATACTGGACATCTCCTTTCGATAGGTCCAATATCACGTTTTTGAGGCTAAATGGGAGGTGGCCACCACCGCCATTTTGACCGTGTCACAGGTTCTGTCAAGCCCAGACAATTCCACAAAAGGGATGAGAGGAGGAGCTGAGGGTGGGGCTGTAAGGCTGGGATCAACTGACGACACCCGGTCGAACTAGCTACAAGCTAACCCTGGCTAACCCTGGCTAACCCAAAGCTAACGCGGAGGTAGCTAAGCTAACGGAGGTAACCTAGCTACAACCAGAGTTAACTGTGCACAACACCAGAGCTTCTGAGTCAGAGATACGCCGGGCTGACCGCTGGGTAAAACCGGGTGGAACACAGAGGTCTCCCGAGACCTCCACAAGCCAGCAGCCGCACAGCAGACAAGCGCCGCTGCGACCTGAGATGCGCAGAGCTGCCGCTGGGGAAAACCGAGTGGAAAGGTTTCCATACCAGAGCTCCACAAGCCGTCAGCCCGAGCAGCACACAGAAGCCGCGATCAGACAGAGATGCGCCGAGCTGCAGGGAGGGGATAAGGGTGGAAAACATTGGTTTCCCGAGAGCTCCACAAGCCGATAGTGGGAACCCAGCTCCACCAACATGTTATATTTCAACCCATTTTCTAAAGTGCAGCATTATGTTAAATGCACTGGGTTTTACCCTGTTACATTTACATTTCATGGTTAAACAGTACATGTTAAAATCTAAGCTCAGCTCGGCAGTGACCTAAAATACATAAATATAATTTTACTTACCGAAAAAAATGAAGTGGAGACTCCTTGGATGCTCTATTAGTGCAATTAATGCCACATCCAGTCATTTTGTCCAACAATTGCACAAAAAATATCCAAAAAAGAATACACACACACAGAGACTCAAAATCCCGGAGCAGTTTCCAGGCCAGACCGAGGCTCTACTGAGGCCTTTCCACGGAGCTAGCTCTGTGGTCACGTGGGTCTGATGCTCATTAATTATACAGAATTTTAGACTTTTAATACACTTAAACAGAAGAGTGAGAAAAAAATTCACCCCCCTCAGAGTTGTCATGAGTGTAAACTAGATCATTTAAACCAAAAACATGTTCTGGTACCAGGCTGTAAACATGTTTATTTCTGCTGTGAAATTGGTATTTTTAATATGGGAGTCAATGGGGATTTGCTCGCTTCTGACACCAGCCCCTAGTGGATGAGGGTGGAAATGCAATTTATGGTACTTCCGGGTTTGATTCCATTTAGGAGCCGCATTGTGGGGGCTTGGTGAAACCAGAAGTTGCTCATTAGTCCATATGAAACACAGCTGTGTTGGCAAAGAAAAACTTTCTGCAAGGAAACACGCCCTGGCTGAGCTAGGAGATGGAACTTTGCCTCAAACAACCCATCAGAATGGAGGTACGTGTTTAACAAATGTTTGGACATTAATATTGAGTTTATTTTGACCATGCACTGACATATGTTGGTTGGTTTATGTGCCCAGCCCAGAGATTCTGTATTGTGTGACACAGCATTCCAATAGGATCTGATATTTGCAGCCCCTGGGAAAGCGGAGCAAGGTACATGATTTACTGCTCCTGTGATTAAGATGTGTTTTTTTGTTTGTTTGTTTTGTTTTTGGGTTGCTGTAACCATTGTTCATTTAACAGTTTGTACAGTTTTCACGGTCTGATGGTTGACCTCATCAGAAGTAATTTCAGATGAACAGAAATAAAATCTCTGCACCAGTCGAGGCTCTCTCATTGCTTTTCCCTTCCTTCAATCCCGGGACTGCTACACGTGATGTCAAATAAAAATTATACTAACGCATAGAGTCCAATGTCCAGGACACCATACAGAAATGAGAATGCAGTCTGGTGCCTGTGACTAAACATGAAAAGCCAAAACCAACATGTCATGATAAAACTGGCATAGAAAACTCATTTTAATGAATACGTCCTAGAATATTTACTGGGAGATGAAGTGCTGGATCCAGTGAAAGATGTGGAAACCAGGTGCAGACTACATGACTGTTTCCTGCTAAAACCTTAACACCCTGAAGAGACAGAAAACCAACAAAAGTAAAACTTACATGACTTATTTTATGCTCTGTTAGAAACAGGTGACTAGCCTTACAGTATATGTTATTATCTCATGAATATGACTTCTAGTACTTGAGTAGCTACTAGCTGTGTCACCTAACTCAAGTGATACAATAAAATTAATACCTAAACTTTTTATTTACCAAACTTGTCATTGGACAGTTTTTCAGTGACTTCCATACAAGAATTCATCATCTGTAAATACAGTGAAAAAAATGTCCCAACATCAGAAAGTCACACATACAAACACAAGTTTAAAGTATGTGAAAACTTACCAGCCCGTTCATCTCCTCTGACAGTCCAAGAGTTATCACATCACCTCGAGTCAGGATCTGGTTTTCAACAGCAGCAAGATGTTCCCCAGGGTCTCTTGTGGTGTCCAAAACCTGTGCAAGCTAAGGCAGATCAAAATGTATATTATATATATCAATTATTGATATGCATGCTTACAACAGTCACACATTTTTTTGTAATACACATCTATAGGGATTTAGAGTAGCTGATTTTTTTCTTTTCACAAGTGTTCTCAAATATTTGATATTCACACACTCACTGGCTACTTTTCTGCTCGCCGCTGAATTACTTGCACAAGATTATATTTTGTAGTTTGTTATTTAATTGGTTAAGAGACCAAATTTACAAAGATTTTAGGGAAAATAATATTTTTGAACCATCGTGTCATACAAACAAAATAATAAAACACATGACCATGTCATTTCAAACACAAACAAAAAATTGGTAAACAACTGGATCAAAGTAGAGACAGATTGACCACATTTGTTTCTGCTGCACTAAGGTCTTGACCCCAGCAGGATTTACTTGCTTCCATTGTTGCCAGGCTTCTCAAAGGTCCCACACCAGTCACTTGGGTGGACTGCAGAGGACATGGCTGAGCTAGCTTGACAGTAGGTTCCAAACCAGCAGCCTCTTGCTTCCTTTTCTGACAGCCTTCATTAAGAGCAAGAATCAACACAGATGGCACTTTAACTTGTGCCACAGCAATAACAACACAAGCACACACACAACAAATGAGTTTTACCCATCACAATGAATCCATTTTGGTCTAAAACCAATGCTGCTTGAGGACTGATGACTTTCTGAATGGCTTCCTTTGCTCTTGTGTTCTTCCTGACATTGTAGTGGTGCGGGATGTTTCTTTGCAGAAATATATGTGAAGATGGGGTGAGCATGTTTAGAAAATAGTTGTTTTTTCTCATTCCTGCAAAGAGCTGCTCTGCACACTGGCTATTCAATTTTCCTGCAAGTTCAGGAACAATTTCAATCCTTAAGACATCACGGTGGTCTTTGCTGTTGCCTTGGTGGCAGACGTCACTCAAACAGTAGCGCTCGGCGGAGCCAGTTACAGGATGGCCTCCCTCGTCTTCGGGGTCTTTCTTGTGCTTTAACCAGGGTAAGCTCACTTCCAGTTTTCTCTCTGCAGCTTGTCTGATGTTTTCTGCTGTGTGATCAAGCAATCTGCCTTCAGGGATGGCAAAGGGTTTATCAGCAGGGCAACGCTTGTTGATGTGGCTTACTAGTCCTCTGGCATAGTCATGCACTGTGATGTTGGGAAAAACTTCCAGGATAGAAGCATATCAGCAAAGTCTCTTGGGCTCTCAGCTCTCAGGTTAAACTTGACTGAATAGATTACTCCACATCAGTTCGACCCTCAAATGATAGATATGCATGTAGAATCCGATCCTTGTGAGGAAAGCTCTCCCCTTCTGTGTGTTCAAAGAGTTCAATGACACGGCTGACAGCAGTATGAGTCAGCAGAAATATGAGAACACAATTAGAATATTTTAGTTATTTGTGGACAAATGTGTCAACATTTAATTTAAATTGAATAAATATGAACTTTACTTTTTACACAACTAATAAGTAAAAGCATCAACTAACCTGCAGTGCATTCCTCAACACAAGGCAAAAATGTATTGACAGTAGCAAACGATCATCACAGTTGTGGACGCCATCTTGCCAGTCTTGATCGCTACACCATGTCACAGTTGGGGCAAACTTTCCTGTATGTCGATGTACCTAAAAGGATAAAAAAAACATGTTACAATTACATCCTAGAGCTGGAATGATGGAAACTACAGTTAACTATATTTCTAATCAAAGCATTGAAAATTGCAAACCTTTAACTACACCATTATGAGTCACTATTTTAGCAGTTGCAGTTATCAGCTGAGGACCAACAAGAGTGTTCTGTCCACATTGTGTGCATGTAGTCTCAGATGGAATGAGATGTGTGGGGAATCCATGAGAGTCTTGGCGTCTCTGCTGCTGGTGATCAGTGTTTTGGAAGATCGGAAGGTATTTTCTTGTGAGCAATCAAATACTTGATCATCCTTTCAGCTGCTGGATCTGGATAAAACGCTTATATTGGGTGAAATCTGCCTAGCCATCCATCTCCTCGCATTGTTTTATTTTGAAACGTATTTAATTTTGAAAAAAGGAAGTGGGATCCTCCCCTTTAAACTCTTATCTTCCTGTTGAACCACGAGTTGTTTTGAACGTTCAACTTTGGAAGCCATCGAGACACGACCTAGAAGCTGTGCTGTTCTGAGATAACTCGGTGGACTTGGTGAGTTTTGGTAGTCAGTAGTCGGTAGTACAGTCAGTAACGTAGTTGGATCTGGAACATTTACCGTCTTTAGTGAGTGGAGCAGTTCACTTGGTGAGTGGACACCGTTTCTTTGTGAGGGAAAGCACGCTAGCGGCCTAATGGAGTTAGCATCATGCTATCGCTAAATCGCGAGTGGGGGTTTCCCTGTTTAAAATCAACAAACTATTTTATTACGTTAAATAGTTTTAATAAAGAGATCCATAGAACAGGCGCGCGCGCGCACGCACACACACACAACAGCAGCTCCTTGCTACAGACAGAAGTTTACTCAACAACATTCAGCATGAAAATGAACCAAGTAGCAAGTATTAAATAGACAAAACAGGCTAAAAAGAAATGCCAGCTGATGTTTCAGAGCATTCGTTAAGCAGATGTTTTTCAGGGATGCATATTTACATGTAAATAAAAATAAATACAACTTTAGAAAGACAAATTCTACTGAGTAAATGTATAATATAATGACTTAGTAATCAATAATAATACTGAAAACACAATAGCATTCTGCTAAAACACACCTAAAGTTCATTTAGCTGGGATTCCTGTGTTTTCATGTACATTACACGTCCGTGGAGCTGCCTCTTGGCCAGGACTCCCTTGAAAGTAAGGTTTGTGATCTCAATGGGACCTTCCTGGTTAAATAAAGAATAAATAAATAAACTCACTACTTCTTCATGTAAACTCTAAACGAAACCCTTTAGTGCTCTTGGCTCAGCTGGAGACGAGGAACCCTCAGGTTGTGTTGTTCTTTACCTTTTCAGCTTCCAGCCCTCTGCTGATATCACACCTTGCTTTCCTTGTTGGCTCCATGAGATGCTGCCATGCTGGATTTGGCTTTTAGTGAGCCACCAGACAGAACTAAACAGGAGAACCCGTTGTTGGTATTTTTGTAGAGCATCCATCTTCTATTTAGTCTGTAGCTGGAAGAACAGAAGAGAACTCTGGTGAGCAAAGGTCCTCTTTTCCAGACTGGATCTGTCCTCAGCTGATCAGAAGCAAAGCGTTGGATCTTTAATCTCCTGCGTTGTTCTGAAGCAGAATCTTAATCAGCTCTCCTGCTTTGTTTCTATTGCAGCTGTTAGCTAAACACGGCTAAAGAAAACCTGCTACCACTTCAGGATCATCCATCAGCTGGGACTGATTCATCGTGTGTTCTTCACCACCTGGACCTGGACAGCATGGACACAGGTAGGGCTGCCACCTTTCAGATATGTAAATAAGTAAATGAGTTGGAGAAGTGGTTTTTCTCTTAGACAGCTGTGTTATTCACACAGGTGTGAAACATCTGTAAACGCCAGATCTGGTGCAGGAAAATGGCTGAACAGGAAGTGGGGACACACTTTGCCTTCTGCGGTTGTAAGTGATAATAATAATAATAATAATAATAATAATAATACATGAAACTTGTCTAGGGCTTTTTAGGTCAGTCAGGCTTCACAAAAAATGCAATAAACACATAATAAAACAACATGAAACATAGTAAACAGACTGGGGGATGCTGGGTTGATCTTAAGAGAAGGCCAATTTAAAGAAGTGGGTTTTAAGCAGTGACTTAAAAGTAGAAAGAGAGACGGCGTTCCTGATGTTTAGTGGGAGAGAGTTCCAAAGTGTGGGGGCAGCGGCTGCAAAGGCTCGATCCCCCATGGTGCCATGTTTTGTTCTGAAAGGGGAAAGGAGGTTGGAGTCAGCAGTAGGGCTGCAACAAACGATTATTTGGATAATCGATTAATCGGATGGGGTCTCGACACGATTAATCGATTAATCGGATTACATGGGGAAATTTTTAAAAACTGCTAGGGAAACGTTATTTCTCTCCTTCCTTCACTTTATTTAACACAACATTATTAGAAAACAGTTCAATAGCAGAAAAACAACATGCCATCACCTAAATTGACTTATAAGGTGTATAGACAGAGACCCTAAGCTACATCTATCTGTGACCTAAAATGCTTGGTCCAAGTTAAACAGCTTAAGGGCAATTCTCATCTGTTTTGTTTGATCTCATCTGTTGACATTTATTTTAAATGTAATTAAACATAGGCTGTGAATTAATCAAAATTGATCACTATTTCCAAAACTGACTGAAAAAATACCAAATAAAACAAAAGTAAATGAATGCCATCCTCCTTGCGATGATGCCCTGGGCAACTGCCATAAAGTCACATCAAGAAATGCTGCTGATCATTCCAATGATCCCAAATAGACTCACATTAGGCCACATGAAAGCAACTGAACCCAAAAATATATTAACCAGTATATAACTGCACTCTCACACAACACGCCTGCAGCAACAGTTAGGACTCCTCCCTCCCTTTTAAAAGCGTTTTTGCTTCTGAGGACATTGTGGTTGTAAAACCACATGCTAGTAGTCTGGCCCCGGTGTGATCAACCAGTTTCTGCGGGAATGTGACGGCGGAACCAGGGCCAGATTAACACTTTGTTGTACCGTGGGCAACAATATTCAAGGGCTCCATCATCACGACCCAAGGATCACCATAATGTGGTCACATACAGAATATTTTACTGTAATATGCAGTAAATATACTCAATACTTGAATGCCTGACAACACGTAACCCGCCCAGAGTAACCTTTGACCCACCTCGTGTGGACTGACCAATGAGGAGAGGGTCTTAACTTGAGGCCCTCTCTTCATTGGTCAGTCTGCATGAGACTGACTCTCAACTGACGTTCAGTCATAGGCAGCGAAGCGTCTCTGTGCAGCGCAAAAGCCCGGGTGGACAGTTTGTTTAATGTAGGGTGATCATATTTCCATTTCCAAACAAGAGGACAGGGGATCTGTGCCTATGACGTCACACTATGGCAACGCCACACAAACCATGTTGGGACCCATTTTTTGTAAGAACTAAATTAATATCAGATTCTGCCAATTAAAGGGCTCTAAAACAATTCATATGTAAATATTTTGCATATTTAATGCAAAATCTCATTTTTATGCTTTAGTGCTGCAACAAGGTTTTAGTAATAATAAATTATTATACCTTTTGTTTTACTACAGCATCGGTAAGCTTCCTGTGCACAGATGATTAAGGATGCTTGTTTCAGCTGTGAGATTAGACGATAGGATCAATGAAAAAATAAGTTGTCACACACTCCATGGAAACTTTCAGAGAATCCACAAATAGTGGCTTTCAAATGGTTTTGTTACTTTTTGCAAGTTTTTAAAAGAAGCAGATGAGACAGCATGTCTGATAATTTAGTTTTTCATCTGATCATATTAGAACATGTCAGTAATGTCTGAGGGGCTTTTATAAACACCATATAACTAACACTACTGGAGAGGGCATGAATTACACAGAGGCTTCTGGGGAGCCCAGTTATGGGGGGGGGGGGGGGGGGGGGGGGGGGGGGCATTTTGCCTTGGCCCCAAAATGTCTTGAAACGACCCTGGGTGTGTGACTGAGTTTTGAAGGTGATCTGAATAGTATCAGATGTATAAATATGACATGTGTATAACTTATTGTTTTTTACTGGTAAAAACGTGTAGTGGAGATAAATCTACCTACATTTGACTTTTCAACACTTTGTTTTGTTTTCTTGTTTTTATTGAACTATTTTCCTGTCCTGTCTGTCTCTCATCTTCCTGCATCTCCTCATAATTCTCCAGAAAATCTGTTGCCTGGATTCTTACCTTTTCACCTCATCAGTTACTTTTGAGCAGATCAAAGGGATCTCCTGACCGAAAAGCGCAGAGCGCGTTTTCGATGCTGCGTGAGGTGACATCACCACAGCACAGGTGATGAGCTCCGCGAGCTTCAGGCACAAATAAGACAGAAAATAGAGAACATGTGCGGACATGAACAATCGTGTGCTAATTATAGTTTTTTGGTTGCGCCACTTTGAGAATGGACCGTGCGCTGGAAGCAGCTGCCTGGATCGCTGCGCGACAATGCGGAACCGGTTCGCAGCAGCGCAAGTCTGCCGGCTCTCCCTCGCATCTGCCGGTACCGGCTCTCCCTCACGCTGATCTGCCGGCTCTCCCTCGCGCTGATCTGCGGCTCTCCCTCGCGCTGATCTGACTTGCTCTGGTCTGCGCGCAACGGCGGGCGGGAAGGGGGGGCGCTTTTGGAAGAGTTGTGCGACACAACGAATCGATGACGCAATTCGTTGCCAACGCTTTTAGTAATCGATTTTCATCGAATTTATCGATTCGTTGTTGCAGCCCTAGTCAGCAGAACGGAGGTGCCGGGAAGGAGAATGGCGATGGACTGATTATCTTTTTGATTTAAAAGTTGTGAAACTATTCAGTATATCCATGCTGCAATAAATGGTCTGCAGCGCTAAAGACAAAAACAAAATGCTTACTACAGCCTCCACATGTGACTCCAGAGAGCAGTCGCTAAGTCAGCATGCAGCTCAGTGAATTTAATGTCCTAGTCGAGTGGGTGGTGGTCTTATGGAAACATGAGAGCAAGTCAAACTGCAACTTTAAGAGCACTCTGAGCAACAGTTGTTTTTCTACACATCTGTTTTTGATTCACCGTTTAGCAGTTGTCTGACTTTTCTATATAGTTTCTAAAGTAAAGCTGTCGTTTACAACTTTTTCTTGTTTTCTATTTTCATATTCAGGCCAGTTTATACACAGAACTCCAGTTATTGCTAGATTTGTCCAATCTGGGCTGCAGCCGAATCACACAGTCAGTACGCCAACATGCTGCTCCTCTCAACTCACTTCCTCTGTACACACACATCCAACGTCAGAGCTGCACACAGGCAAACTCAGAGTGAGATCATGGAATTGGATCAGGAACTTCCTACAGACAGGAAAAGATCTACAGCTAACATAGCTGTGGATCACACTGGATAACTTCCTATGGTTGCATTTATTTGACTTATTTTATTTTACTCATATTTTACCACCTCTTACATGAGCTGTCTTTAGTCCATTTGGAATACAAATACAGACAGAAGGACAATATGGGACCAGCTCAGTGGCCTTGTGGTACTGTCCTCCCTGGGACTGTGAGATCAGCTTCCATTCTCGGTCGGGTCATACCAAAGACTTTAAAAATGGGTCCCATTGCCTCCCTGCTTGACACTCAGCTTTAAGGGGTTGGATTGGGGGTTAAACCACCAAATAGTTCCCGAGCCCAGCCACTGCTGCATCTCACCACTCCCCTCCAATGAGATCAGTATGTGATGATGACTATGGGACTTTCTCCATTTTCTTCTTTGTTAATGCATTGCATCACCACCTGGTATCAGAACAGGACTCAGTATTGGAAGATAATCAAAAATCAAACAACTTGGATTCAGATCAGGGGCAAAAATGTGGTTTTAACATAAGTCAGCTTTAAAAGCTAAAACAACTGTTTATGAAATAACGTTACCGTAATTAATGACATATTTTCCTAGTTTACATTATGTTGTTTGAAACCAAGGGTCTCATTATCTGAACTTTTTAACTTGTTGGATCGTGAATCTGTTTAAAAACTTTGCTCTATATCAGGGTTTTTCCTGGCTCAGACTGAGGCAGAGGTGGTACCATCCTGACCGTGCGCCAGCACATGCGTACTCTGTGCATTCAACTGCCTCACTTTTTTAAAGGCCAAATATGTTTTCGTTAAGTGTTCTAATCTAAGCTTCTGGCGATTAATAGAATATTCCATTTGACAACGTTTCAAGTGAAACAAAACTGGTTTGCTGCTAGAAAATATGAAATAAAACAACAAAATGATCAGGCTGAAATAACAGACTCTTATTATGAAAGGCTCAATAATATGCATCAGATTGGTGTTTAGTTCCTTTTTCCCATCTGATATTTATAGTTAAAATATTTTTATATATTTGACCTACATTTCAGTAACATTTTAGGTTTGTATTAATAACACTCATCTTAGTCATAATAACACATAAATATATGCAGTAAAATATAATGCATTTCATTAACATGCACTTGTGTTGGAAATGGTAATAACATTTAATTTCTGCTGCTAACAATGTAATGGTGGCATGTCTATTATGTACGGGTTAGCAATAATCCAGTTCAAATTATGTTCAAAGATAGAAGCGTTTGTGAATTATATACTACAACAGCTTGCCATAGTCTCGTAGCTGTAATGTGACCCGTATCTGCAGCGGTTCTGATCCGTAGTGCTGCAGGATGCAGAATAAACAGGATGGTGGGGACTTTTCATCCGCTTGTAGAGTTTAGTCTTTCTTAGTTTTACGATCATCATCATCATATATTTTTCTGTGCGCCACTTGATCGCGAGACTGCTACCTGTTAGCTTTAGCATTAGCTAATCTGCGTGTAGCTGCACTTTTGATCCCAAAGTTTGGACCGGTTCTGCCTTTGTGCCTTTGTTGGTTCCTGTATTTTCCTCCACTGCATCCAGATGACCACACTGTGCGCCAGTAAAAAGCATTTTCTTACACGTAACTTACTTTTGTTCAACAAAGTTCTGGGGAAAATAGTAAATCAAAGATGTTGCACCCGTGCTACGTTTAAAAATAGACAGACACGCACAGACAGTTACAGCCCTGCTCCGATATGGAAGAGCTGGGGGAAAATCAGGACGTTAATAGCACCAACCATAGGTATGTACCAACTAGCGAGAAAAGCTCATTTTGATCTTTTTCTGCAGCGGTTTTAGCGCTTTTCGGTGCACCGCTGCTGGTACAGCGCCCTGTAGTGGCGCAATGCTGCAACTGCAGTTACAGTAACATCCATATAGCTGGGGGCAGAGTGAAATCAGGCTGGGGCGGCACAAAAATAGCTGGAGGCGGCCGCCACGCAAATTTGAATACAGGAAAACCCTGTATATGTGCCCCTTTTTTTACTTTGAGCACCCGCCCCTTCAAAGGTCTCTGCACGGCCCTGCTCTATCTGCTTCCTTTACAGCACCTGCTGAGCTCATTTAAAGGAGTCTCCTAGCGTCTTCACACGGATGACATCCAACTGTACATCTCCTTTAAGCCCCATGAGATGTCTACGCTGCAGCTGTTACTCTCCTGCTTAGACTCCATTAAAACCTGGATGGTGGGAGCTTTCTACAGCTGAATGAAGATAAGACTGAGATCTTCATCTGTGCCCCAGAGAAGCTGGTTCCCAAAGTCAGAGACTCTCTTGGTCAGCTTGCTTCTCACACCAAACCCTCTGTCAGGAATCTTGGCGTGACCTTTGACCCAGCTCTCACCCTGGATTCTCATGCCAGTTCTCTTGTTGGCTCTTCCTTCTTCCATCTCAGGAACGTTGCTAAGCTGTGTAACGTGATGAAGGAGCCATTTCTACCCTAACAGCTGTTTCCTTTTGACACAGTGTCAGTGTGTCTGAAACAGCCTGAAGGTCATACAGTCGTTTCTAAACTGTTTACATTCCAGCATGAAGACAGAAGAAAGAAGAATGAATTCTTTCCTTTTGATTAATCAAAGAACTCTATTTTAATAAAGCTAATCCATCAAAGTGTTAGTCAATATAACAAGATGTGACCGACCTGTGAAATTAAAATATTAATTATTTTATTATGATCTTAGAAATGAAGTAATGTAACTTTAAATGGTTCAACAGGACTCATTTCACGTAGTGTTAAAAGGACTTGACACATTTTTTCACTGATCCAATCAGAATCTTACAGATCTGACGGAGGCGTGCTTCTGACGGTGTTTGGTAATTTTCATTCAACAATAAACCAAAACATCCGAGGTATAAAACAGATGCCACGTCAGCTCTAATGCAGTTCAAAGCGTTCCAGAGCAAAGTGACGGAGTGGCCAATCCTGAACTTTAACTCTTCAACCGAAAGAACCACGACAAGCTGAGAAAATCCAGTCGCTATAACAACAAGCAACGACAACAGCTCCTTTCAGAATAAGAGCTCCACTGACCCAGGCTGGGTCTGAACAGACGCCAAGACAAGAGTCGTGTGCCGGCAGTATCTCGAGACGGGTCTGGTCGGAACCGCAGCTCTGCTACCAGCTCGGTGTCCAGAGAGGGTCCGGGTGGACCTCGGCATTCCTGATCTCACAGAGGACTTCCACCAGGCAGGTAGGCGTGGCTTAATGGTGTCTCATGCAGTTCTGAAACGAACCCCAGCTTATTCCAAACCAACATCTTCAGTTCCCGTCAGAACTAATCGCTTCTTCGGATTTGCGGGTTCTGATTTACATGACACGTCATCCATTCACCGCCTCATCCATTTTTAGTCGCACTATACACTTAGTTCTTAAATAAGCCTAGTTTAATTGTTAGTAATAAAACTTCTTAACTTTTAAACTTGACTCGTTCTATTCTGTTGTCTCTGAGTGAATACATAACGGTTACATGATCTCTGCATTAAAAAGACCCGATCTTCTGGTTTAACCAACCCCGATCCATGAGGCGGATTTCATATTTCCTATGGAATCCCACGCCTTACGGCTCATTAATTAAAATGTTAGAACCTCATTTTTCCCTTACAGCTGAGTCCCATTCTGTCCCGCTCTGAACTTGAGACAGTTCTCCACACCTTCATCTCCTCACGCTTAGACTACTGTAACTCTCTTTTCACGTGTCTGAGCAGAACCTCCCTGAACCGTCTACAGGTGGTTCAGAACGCCTGTGCTCGGCTTCTGACCAAGTCCTCCAAACACACCCACATCACCCCGATTCATGAAAAAAACACTAAAACTGAGTTATTTTCTAGAAAAGTCTTTTTTTTTTTGCCTGGGGTGTTTAGTACAAATCAGTCTTGATAATGTTATGAAATATCTAAACTTTAGAATTTTTTGCATTTATAGTTTTTACATAGCAACAGATTTAAAATTTACTATACACTCGAGCCATTAGAGGACAAAAACGTCCCATTGACTTTAATGCAAACCACAGTTTTTGATCCTGTATCATCTGCAACAAATAATCATGCTTTCTGTGATGTTATGGTTTCATTTTGGACAAAAGTAGAATTCAGTCATGTCTCCATATGTTGCCCAGGCGAGAAAGTTTACACATTTCTTTAGATCTTCTGCTGTTTTTATTGAAGTCAAAAGGCCAACCTGACCTCTGATAAGTAAATAAAACACAGTTTGACTCTCCTACTGAACTTCAAAGTGTAGAAAACAAAAACAATTAGTATGTTTATGCACCTGCCACATTCAAACTCCTTGTAGTCTGGTTATCTGGGTATTTCACTTCTGTGAAAGCCACGGAGCTAAATGAAGAGGCATCTCTCTGTGGAACAAGTTCTGGATCAGCTCCTGCAGCCTGATACTCCTGGAGAAAATGAGGAGAGTGAAACATCTTCAGTGGACTTTGAGGTGGAGTCAGACCATTCTGTTTCCTTGACTTCTTCTCCTGACCTGTCCAGTGAAAGAGAAGGGAGGACAACGGATCCTGCTCCAGGATGGATTTCTAAAAGTGGGCAAGTCTGGTTTCCTACTAACACAGAAACTTCCCACTATGTTCCTGCTGCAAGATGTTTGAATCCTGGGCCAACACGTTACACCATCACACGTATTTACGATGTGGTATCCTCCTTTGATTTATTCTTTACTCCAGAAATGACTGAAATCATCGTCAACATGACAAATCTAAATGGAAGACGTGTGGTGAAGAACTGGTGGGATATTGATGACATCGCAGTGAGAGCATACATTGGGCTCCTGATTTTGGCTGGTGTGTACCAGTCCAAAGGGGAATCCACCTGCAGCCTTTGGGATGACCACTGTGGACGTGCAATCTTCCTGGCCACCATGAGACACCAAATTCAAGATGATCAACTCCACCCTCCGGTTTGATGATGAGCTGAACAGGCCTTCCCGTCTCAGGCAAGACAAGCTGGCCCCTATCCGCTCGATTTGGGACATGTGGACCCATCGCCTCCAAATGCTTTTCAACACTGGGTTAGATGTGTGTGCTGATGAGCAGCTTGTCCCTTTCAGAGGCAGGTGCAAGTTTCACCAACATATGCCAAGTAAACCAGCAAAGTACGGATTGAAACTCTGGGTCACTGCTGATGTTGCCACTTCCTATGCCTGCAAGTGTCAGGTTAACACAGGGAAAGCTGGTGGTGAGGCTGCAGAGGTCGGCCAGGGAAAACGTGTCATTTTGGAGATGACCGAAGAGCTCCAAGGAGTCACTTCACATGCATGCATTCACACTTCTGCCCTTTCATAACAAACTGAACTACAAAGAGTTTGGATGTGCCTGAGCTCCAGCCAGGTGCATAAACATATTGTTTTTGTTTTCTACCCTTTGATGTTCAGTAGGAGAGTGAAACTGTGTTTTGTTTACATGCTGAGCTTCTGACTTCAATAAAAACAGCAGAAGATCTATAGAAATGTGTAAACTTTCTCGCCTGGGCAACATATGAAGAAATGACTGAATTTGGTGGTGAACGGTAAAAATCATAAATTTGACTACTTTTGTCCAAAATGAAACCATTACATCACAGAAAGCATGAATATTTGCTGCAGATAATGCAGGATCAAAAACTGTGGTTTGCATTGAAGTCAATGGGACGTTTTTGTCCATAACAGGCACAAGAGGGTGGTAAATTTTAAATCTGCTGCTACACAAAAACTAAAAAAGCATAAAATGTGATATTTTGCCAGACTCTTGACAGATCCAAGGCTAATTCCATACTGTCGTCCTTTTTAAAACACAGAAACGGTTTCGTTACCTGTTTTTTTAGAAAATAACTCGGTGCTGTTTTTTTTTTTGTTTTTTTTTCTTCATAAATTACATCAATGACTTTTGAGTATTCAAAGTGGAATTTCAGGGGTTAAAATCTTCAAAATGATTGAATTTTTTTTATGTTTGAGCAGGGCTGAAGTTGTTCAACAGATCTATGAAAAAAAAAGTAAAACAAAAAAAAACATTAATGTATACATTTTTTATAGCCACTTTTACAAGCGAACGTTTTTGTATGAAAATTAAAGTGAAGCCTGAGGGTTAAGGCTCATATGATTTATAGAGGCTCAAAGTTCAGTTTCCAGTTGTAAATACATTTCATTCTACTGTCAGTTTAAAGAATTAATACAACTGTTATATGTGTGAAAACACAGTTACAGCTGTCTGTAATTCACATAATATGTTTCTGTGTTTCCTACAGATTTTCAACAGATGGTTCTGGTTAAATAAGAAGCTTCAGAAGAACAGAGTGCTCGTGTCAACCACCAGCACCTAGATTTTCTCCACAAAAAGGAGGAACAGGAGAAACTCTTGTCTAGTATGGAGGGAGAGCATCTCCATTTGAATAAGGAGACTGATGCTGCCAGGCTTCAATCCTTTAGCCAAAAAACACATTTAAACAAACACACGAGAGTCCAGACAAAGCAGAAACATTTTGCCTGTGAGCACTGTGGACAAAGGTTTCACCAAAAGACTAATTTAACCACACACATGAGCGTCCACACAGGAGAGAAGCCTTTTGCTTGTGAGCTCTGTGGAAAAAGATTTAGCCAAAAGACACATTTAAACAGTCACATGAGAGTCCACACAGGAGAGAAATCTTTTGCTTGTGAGCTCTGTGGAACGAGATTTAGCCGAAAGACAAACTTAACCACACACATGAAAGTCCACACAGGAGATAAGCCCTTTCCTTGTGAGCTCTGTGGAATGAGATTTAGCCAAAAGTCAACTTTAAACAGTCACATGAGAGTCCACACTGGACAGATGCCTTTTGCTTGTGAGCTCTGTGGACAAAGATTTAGCCAAAAGACACATTTAAACAGTCACATGAGAGTCCACACTGGAGATAAGCCCTTTCCTTGTGAGCTCTGTGGAACGAGATTTAGCCAAAAGGAACATTTAAACAGTCACATGAGAGTCCACACAGCGCTGAAGCCCTTTCCTTGTGAGCTCTGTGGAACGAGATTTAGCCAAAAGACACATTTAAACCGTCACATGAGAGTCCACACAGGAGAGAAATCTTTTGTCTGTGAGCTCTGTGGAACAAGATTTAGCCAAAAGTCGACTTTAAACAGTCACATGAGAGTCCACACTGGAGAGAAGCCTTTCGCCTGTGAGCTGTGTGGTAATAGATTTAGTGAAAAGGGAAGGTTAAACACACACATGAGAGTCCACACAGGAGATAAGCCCTTTCCTTGTGAGCTCTGTGGAACGAGATTTAGCCAAAAGACTAATTTAAACAGTCACATGAGAGTCCACACAGGAGAGAAATCTTTTGCTTGTGAGCTCTGTGGAACGAGATTTAGCCGAAAGACAAACTTAACCACACACATGAAAGTCCACACAGGAGATAAGCCCTTTCCTTGTGAGCTCTGTGGAATGAGATTTAGCCAAAAGTCAACTTTAAACAGTCACATGAGAGTCCACACTGGACAGATGCCTTTTGCTTGTGAGCTCTGTGGACAAAGATTTAGCCAAAAGACACATTTAAACAGTCACATGAGAGTCCACACTGGAGATAAGCCCTTTCCTTGTGAGCTCTGTGGAACGAGATTTAGCCAAAAGGAACATTTAAACAGTCACATGAGAGTCCACACAGCGCTGAAGCCCTTTCCTTGTGAGCTCTGTGGAACGAGATTTAGCCAAAAGACACATTTAAACCGTCACATGAGAGTCCACACAGGAGAGAAATCTTTTGTCTGTGAGCTCTGTGGAACAAGATTTAGCCAAAAGTCGACTTTAAACAGTCACATGAGAGTCCACACTGGAGAGAAGCCTTTCGCCTGTGAGCTGTGTGGTAATAGATTTAGTGAAAAGGGAAGGTTAAACACACACATGAGAGTCCACACTGGAGAGAAGCCTTTCGCCTGTGAGCTGTGTGGTAATAGATTTAGTGAAAAGGGAAGGTTAAACACACACATGAGAGTCCACACAGGAGAGAAGCCCTTTCCTTGTGAGCTTTGTGGAAAGAAATTTAGCTTAAAGACAACTTTAAACAGTCACATGAGAGTCCACACTGGACAGAAGCCTTTTGCTTGTGAGCTCTGTGTAAAAAGATTTAGCCGAAAGACACATTTAAACAGTCACATGAGAGTCCACACTGGACAGAAGCCTTTTGCTTGTGAGCTCTGTGTAAAAAGATTTAGCCAAAAGTCACATTTAAACAGACACATGAGAGTCCACACTGGCTTTTCACCTGTGAGTTCGGTGGAAAAGATTTACCCAAAAGATCAGTTTAAACGGTCACAAAAGAGTCCATAAAGGACAGAAGCCTTTTGCTTGTGAGCTCTGTGGACGAAGGTTTAGCTGAAAGAAAACTTTAAACAATCATCAATCATTGCCCTGATCATCTAAGCATCTACTAGGGCTGAACGATCTATTGCAGGGGTCTCCAACCTTTTTTTGGCCCGTGGGCTAGTTTTACACAATGAAGTACAGCAGAGTTACTGCCATATGATTTATTTACATTGATACTTTCCATGTGTGAATGTGTTTATGTTAAACATGCTATACTTACTATATTAACATGCATTGTACTCACAAGTTGATTTCTCTGTATTTCAGTACATCAGTATATATATTTTAAAAGTATAAGTAAACTAGTGACATTCTGAAAACCAAATTAAACAAAACATATTTAGTTTTTTAAACTAATCGGATACTTTCAGATAATGAATAACAAATCTACTTCATGTGAATGATTTGGTAATTTTTTTTAGAAGTTTAGTAACATACCCTAAATCCTCTAATACAGGCCTGTATTCAATTAACGGCCGGGTCTCATATTTTGGCCGGTGTCGGCTGAGGTGAATAATGGCCGGTCTCTTATTGTGGCCGGGTGGAATGTGGTAACAAGCAAGTACGGGGGCGGTTGTGTCATCGTCTCACTTTTGATTTGCCAGTGATAGACCGCAAGGGTAACTTTAACCGTGCGGAGACGAAGAGGAGGCGAAAATTTGATATCAAGTTCAAAGAGAACGTGCGCTGCAGAACACTGGGGAGCAATAGGGGTTGTATGAACTAGTCGACTTCACTATAGTGACTTTTTATGTCTGTCATTCACTAGTCGCTGTCACGTGATAATGACCGGCAAGATGCAGCCCTCGGAAAAGACAGCAGCCTGCTGTCAGCAGGTGACAAGCTCCTGCTTTCTGGGGGGGCAACACGCTGTGCCAGAGCGTCAGTACTGACACGCGATCGTTCATGTCGGTTCATTTCCTTTAATGTTTTCTGTCTTTTATTTGCGCCTGATGGGTTTCGCTGCTGTGGAGCGGGGCGCATCACCTTGTCCTCCGGTGACGCACCGATCACTGATGCGGCCGCCAAGCAGGGAGCACTCCGCTGTTTTTGCGGTCGGTAGATCTGCGTCCTGAGCATGGCCACAGTAACATTATCAAATCAGGTGTTGCCACCTCAAAAGCTAATTTAACATGCGATCGTTCATATTGGTTCATTTCCTTTAATGTTTTCTGGTAGATCTTTTAGAACTGCAGTTCAAAGGTAACTCATAAGGTGAATATATATGAACCCAGGTAGCAGTTTCCCTTTAGGATTGAGAGGAGATGCAGGAAGATAATAAACAGACAGGACAGAAAAATAGTCAAATAAAAACAAGTTAGTTTTTGTACCTGGTTGCAACAAACAGACACCATTGAAGGTAATCAGAAGTGAGGAACAAAAAATGAAATAATTATTTTAATGTTTAAAGCAGCAGGAACTCTGAGGCTGCAGGCGCATCAGTGAGTTTGTGGCCGCTGCGCAGGGGGAGGGGGGAGAGGGCTAAAGCAGAAACTACCGTTGTTAAAAGAAATGTGTTAAACTTTGAAAATGTGGGCGCAATTTTAATTGTCAAAAACTCCAGCGAACCATTAGTTCATTTTGCTCAAATAGAAATAGAGGCCTGCCTCTAATACTGGCCCTCCTTCCAATAAAGGCCTGGAGCTTGATGAGCTTGAGTCAAATACAGGCCCGGGCCTGTATTAGAGGATTTACAGTAACTTTTTAAGCGCACAGGAACAGCTTACCTGTAAAGCTGATGATATTTTAAATAAAATACAAGCTAAATGTGATGAAAACACAAAAGTCTAAATAGTTTGAATTGAAGTAAAAAATGTAAAATCAGAAATGAGACTTGTTCCTGCTCCTGATGTACTGAATAATTTTTATGGTTTTTTTTTTTGGTCATGAAAGTTGAGTTTTGCTGCGTTTATTGCTGACAATATGAAGGTTGGAGGTTTATCCTTTTTTCTGCATCTTGTACGTTTTTTTCTCCGCACGTCTCTAAATAAAGTAAAATTTTCTAGTGCAGAGTGGAGACAACCCATAGAAGCACTGATTTGATCTCATTTCAGAGAAAAATAGAACAGGTTAGATGCACCTAATAAATAAAATTATAACAAACTCAGGAATCTGTTTCTTTGCTTCACTGTTCTGGTGCTGAGAATATCACTAATGCGGATCAAAGGAGATACACAGATGAATGCACCTCTTATTTATTATTTGGAAACTACATTTACTGCAGCTGGCAGAGGCAGAGATTTTTTCTGTTGATACACGGAATTTACAGAATCATTTTAAATGTTAATAGGGGAAGACTGCAGGAGGGAGCGGTAAAATACAGGGGGTCCCCAGCAAAAACAAACTTTACGAGTCTGATGAAACCCGCTGGTTTTCCATCAGGCAGTCACGGGGCAGCTCCAACGACCCAGTGGCTGTGCTGGGTCAATGTTATCGAGCTCAGTCGAGGTGACGTCGTGCTCTGCTTAAGAAGAGGTGTTATTTTCCCGCTTCAGAAGAAGCGTTCAACGTGTTTTTACGCTTTCTCCGAGACATGTCACGTCGCTAAGTTGTTAGCGCCGCACGATAACACGTCAATAGTGCAGCGTAGCCTGCTGGAGGTTATAAGGGTCCAGATGAAAACACCCGACCTCTCAGGCTGCTCACACATCGATCTTAAGTTGTCGCATTTGCGCTCACATCGTAATACAGTATTAGATAAATTTTACATGAATAAGTGATGCTTATCCTGGTGGGGAGAGGAAACCCTGTCAAGATCGTCAACACTCATTTATCTTAATGCTATTGAAACATGTAAACCAAAAAGCATTATATCCACTGCTACCTTTATGCTGTAACTTCACCCTGCCCTGCCTGCTCCTCCTTGCTGCCTGCCGGCTGTGATCACAAGCGACAACATAGTAGTTCCTGCTGCTTCCTCGTGAAACAGCTAAAAAAATATTTAAAACTTGGGATCTTGTAGGCGTGGCGGTGGGATTTCAGACGTGGCGGGCCGCCACGGCTACGCCTATGTAAGGGAAACCCTGGTGTAGTTACTGTGTAAAGCAGTATATACTAGGAATGATTAATAAAAATAAAAACTAGAATTGAACCTGAGTTACATAGTAATAACAATTTAAGAACTCAAAAACAATTCACTAACTTACTAAGTAATTACCATGTAAGTACTAGGTAATTAGAGGACTAAAAGAAAGCGCTACCAATAATTGTACTTAATATGCTTTTATTTTTGTGTGCTATGTTCTTTGTCAATATTCTTTGATTTTATTTTGCACAACATGATGTGACATTTTAACTATTTCATTTCACTTGTGATTGTTTTAACTATGTGAAGCACATTGGGCTACCGTTTTGTGTATGAAATGGGCTATATAATAAACTTGACTTGAGAGAGAGTTCACAATCATGTTTTGTTACTAAATGAGACACTCAGCTGAAACTGGGGGAAATATATGATGAATCTAAATCACAGGAGATGTCCAGAGTTTTTAAAGCCTGTGTTCATCATGTTGTGGGGACCACAATGAGGCTACACTCACACCCAGTTCTTGGTACCACATACGTATATATTGACTTGGGACTGTTTGTATGTAAATATTGTTGACTGCTTGGCCGCTTGATCAGAACCAGAAACGTATGTGTAACAGACCATCTGGGTGTTCAAGGGGCCGTATGTGGAGGGCCACACAGAGGCTACGCTCACACCCAGTTCTTTGGACTGTTTGTATGTAGATGTAGCAGGACTGGTTGGTGTCTCAACCAGTTGATCGCCCAGCCTATCACACATATTAATCAAACCAGCCCACCATTAAAACATATTACAGATGATAACAACTCTACTGCTTGTACTATAAGATTAATGCACACAATTTAATTTAAGACATTTAACTGCATGTGTGCACGTGTGTGTGTTTGCACTGAATGTGTTTGTGCACATGGTTCACACGTGTGTAGGGTTAATCTACATACTAGAACTAACGCTGTTGCTATCAGCTTTGTTAGATTCTGAGAAAGACAAACAAGTTAACGTATGAAGCTTCTATCATATATAAACATCTAGGATATTAATATAATCGATAGAAGTTCATACACCAATGAGCTTGGTTTATATTTAATCTACGGATTAATATTTAATTTAAGATATTTAAATTAATAGCAAAAGTTTATTTATTAAACAGAAGACTTAATAAGGTTCTTTGCTGATTCAATAACTGAAAATGCACACCATTCTGTGTTTCATTCAAAGAAGAGTCAGGTTTAAAAATTTAAGAATTTATTACTAACAATTTCAAATCTGACAACTTAAAATTGACAATTTATGAATAACAATTTATAAATGACGAATTTGAACAACAATTTTTATATTAAAACTTGTTATTAAAGCAACCCCTGTGTCTGGATGGAAAACTAAGTGGAATGATGAGGTTTGGATGCGTGAATGAAATCTCAGAAGCTTTCTTTCAGAGGGAGAACGCGTTCTGGGTGAAACGTTGGTTTTGCAGCTAACTGATGGTTTCTTAGAGAGAACAACATCGGACACAATCTGTGTTCTACCTCACCGTTCAGACGACCCTCTGTGTGGATCTGAAGGTCTGGAGGATGTTGTCAGCCTCGGGGGTACTCAGGTCCGGCAGATGACCAAGGGTACCGACTTTCTCTGGTCCTAGAGTTGCCGTGAGGTGCACAGGTACAGGTGCTGGCCAGTAAATTAGAATATCATCAAAAGGTTGAAAATATTTCAGTAATTCCATTCAAAACGTGAAACTTGTACATTATATTCATGCAATGCACACAGACCAATGTATTTCCAATGTTCATTACATTTAAATTTGATATTCATAAGTGACAACTAATGAAAACTCCAAATTTGGTATCTCAAAAAATTAGAATATTCTGAAAAGGCTGAATATAGAAGACACCTGCTGCCACTCTAATCAGCTGATTTACTCAAAACACCTGCAAAGGCCTTTAAAAGGTCCCTCAGTCTTGTTTTGAAGGCACCACAATCATGGGGAAGACTTCTGACTTAACAGCTGTCCAAAAGACAATCATTGACACCTTGCACAAGGAGGGCAAGACACAAAAGGTGATTGATAAAGAAGCTGGCTGTTCGCAGAGCTCTGTGTCCAAGCACATTAACAGACAGGCGAAGGGATGGAAAAAATGTGGTAGAAAAAAGTGTACAAGCTCTAGGGATAACCGCACCCTGCAGAGAATTGTGACGACAAACCCATTCAAAAATGTGGGGGAGATCCACAAAGAGTGGACTGCAGCTGGAGTCAGCGCTTCAAGAACCACCACGAGGAGACTCATGAAAGACATGGGATTCAGGTGTCGCATTCCGTGTGTCAAGCCACTCTTGAACAAGAAACAGCGCAAGAAGCGTCTCGCCTGGGCCAAGGACAAAAAGGACTGGACTGATGCTGAGTGGTCCAAAGTTATGTTTTCTGATGAAAGCAAGTTCTGCATTTCCTTTGGAAATCAAGGACCCAGAGTCTGGAGGAAGAGCGGAGAAGCACAGAATCCACGTTGCATGAGGTCCAGTGTAAAGTTTCCACCGTCAGTGATGGTGTGGGGTGCCATGTCATCTGCCGGTGTTGGCCCACTCTGTTTCCTGAGGTCCAGGGTCAATGCAGCCGTCTACCAGGAAGTTTTAGAGCACTTCATGCTTCCTGCTGCTGACCAACTTTATGGGGATGCAGACTTCACCTTTCAACAGGACTTGGCACCTGCACACAGTGCCAAAACCACCAGCACCTGGTTCAAGGACCATGGTATCCCTGTCCTTGATTGGCCAGCAAACTCGCCTGACCTTAACCCCATAGAAAATCTATGGGGTATTGTGAAGCGGAGGATGCAATACGCTAGACCCAACATTGCAGAGGAGCTGAAGACGACTATCAGAGCAACCTGGGCTCTCATAACACCTGAGCAGTGCCACAGACTGATCGAGTCCATGCCACGCCGCATTACTGCAGTTATTGAGGCAAAAGGAGCCCCGACTAAGTATTGAGTGCTATACATGCACATTCTTTTCATGTTCATTCTTTTCAGTTGGCCAACATTAGAGAAACAAACATTTTTTCATTGGCCTTTAGAATATTCTAATTTTCTGAGATACCAGATTTGATGTTTTCATTGGTTGTCACCTATAAATATCAAAATTAAACGTAATGAACATTGGAAATACATTGGTCTGTGTGCATTGCATGAATATAATGTACAAGTTTCACGTTTTGAATGGAATTACTGAAATATTTTCAACCTTTTGATGATATTCTAATTTACTGGCCAGCACCTGTAGATGTGGCTTTGCATCCGGGCAGATTCTTAAGGAATCTCGTAGTGACAGCTGGTTATAGGTGCGTTTATTCTGAGCTATTCTATCGGCGTGACAGAACGCTTAGTGAGGAGTCAGGCGGCCGACCCTTCTCCTCTGGGATACTCTCGTTGCCACGAAGAAGTATCAGCTTGGTTCAAGAACTGAACTTAAGCTGTGGAGCTTTGGTTTTAACAAAACCTCAGAACACGCCCTCTCAGAGACAGGAAGCATGACTATGGAAGACATGTGAGGCAGTTACCTTGAAGTGAGTCCTGCATGAGGTGTAAACACGTGCAAAAGACCTTCTGGTTACTGAACACACATTACTGATTATCATAAATAATAATTATTATTAACCAAAGAATAATAAGTCATTTCATTAGTTAAAAATACATTTATAATGAACCATGATGATCATTTATGATGATTATAGTAAACCTCATAATAAAAGAGTTTATTAAATTATTTGATTAGAGTTGAAGGTCCTTCATCTCGTGATGGAACAGCAAACAGATAAACAGTCAGATTGAAGACGGTGTTATTGTAGACTATTCGGCTCCTGGTGGTTTAATCTGTGGATGGAAGTTACAGCTCGACCCAGCTGTGACCCAGCTGGAAAGAGTGAACTTTGCCCCACAAAATGAGGCCATTCATGATGCTACACGTGCGACCATCAAGAACAAAGTAGAAATTCAGCGAAAGAAAGCAAATTGACTACATATTAATTTGGTACAAGTGTGAACCTAGAGCCCCACGACTGTTATTATTTTAGGTACGGAGAGTGATCACGCTAGATCAAACAATGGGTTGAGACAATGTCTTCCTCCAAACTTGAGTTTATTTACACACAATGCATAAAACAAGTTCTTCTGTTACAACCCAACCAGGTCTGGGATCCTGGGAGGGCTAACACAGGTACGTGAGTGCAAAAAAGGTGAGGATTGGGACGTAGATCGACCGGTAAATCGAGAGCCTGGCTTTCTGGCTCAGCTCCCTCTTCACCACGACAGATCGGCTCAGCGTCCGCATCACTGCAGACGCTGAACCAATCTGCCTGTCGATCTCCCGATCCCTCCTACCCTCACTCGTGAACAAGACCACGAGATACTTAAACTCCTCCACTTGAGGTTGGACCTCTCTCCCGACCCGGAGTTGGCAAGCCACCCATTTCCATTCGAGAACCAAAAAGCGTCCCTATGGGAGATAAACGACAACACAAAATGGAAGACGACTCGTTAAGACAAAAATGATATTCCAGAAATGTTCTGAGTAGAGGATTTATGGTTGTACATGCACCATACACCCCAATGCCAAGAAAGGGCACAAGCATCTGGCTGCAGACATCAGCTGGCGTCTACCGGAAATGACGTAACCAGAAAAACACAATAATACCTAGCTGCAGACGCAGCCCCGACAAACCACGCCCCTCCAAAACACGCCCCTATGTACAAAACACGCCCCCATGTGCCTGTTGAGCTCCCCCGAGCTCCCCTGGTGGTCAGAAAAGGGAAATATCTCAATAACAGCAGCCCTCCCAGCGGGGCAGGGGAGCTCATTCCTGGGTCGGATCCAGGGTGCAGCACCCCGCCTCAGGCTCCAGCAGAGGAGATTGGGGTTTGATTCATATCAAACGCCTTTCAATGCGAACAATACAATTGAAAGAATACGTTTATACAGAAATAGTAACAATGTAATTAAACAGACAGGACTCCAGGTTTAAATATGAATGTATGGATATTTTTTTCTTGCATACACACTTTTTGGCCATCCCCAGTGGGATTATAAAACACAGATACCACCAACAAATAATCAGTTGCCGGACAATAGGCACAACATACCTATGCTTACTTAAGTTAGCAGGTGAGTAATGTATGTGCAAGTGTTTATTTTAAATGCAATAAAATAAAATATCAGAAAAAGTAATTAGTGGTAATCGTTTTAATTAACCCCTTAAGCCCACTAGCCTCCATTTTTGGGAGCACGCCTCCTACAGCAACATTTAACTTTCAATCGTTTGTTATTACAGGCACTAACAGTGGGTCTAAGTCAATACGAGTGAGTAGTTAATATTTATGTTAATAGTTATGATTTTTTATTGCTTCTTTACAGTGAAAAGCTGCTGATGTGTAATTTTTAGGCATATTTACGTGTGTATTTATGTATTTCGTATATTCTGTTAACAGGAATAATTGCTGGCCCTTTGACACAAAATGTATTGATTTAGAAATTACTAAAATATTTTGAATTAAGTATACAATTCACAAGACTAGTAAACTGATATTGACCATTCACTAATCTTTAAAAAATATGCTGTAAACACAAAAGCAGAAAAGTTTTGCTTTAGAAAAAAAGTTCAGACAAATGAAACAACCAGCAGCAACTTTTATTGGCCTTACAAATACCTTCCAAAAAAAGATGTCAACACAATACTACAGCCTCTTCAAAAATTCAGATGAGTCCAGAGCTTTTCTGAGTTTCTCCGTGTATATGAGCAGTTCCATGGCATAGGACATCAGCTGCCTCTCACTAATGAGACAGAGATAAATAGCAATTAGTAAAAATGACATTCACACCTAGAGGCTGTCATAAACAATGTGAAAACAATACATATAGGCATTAGCACTGTTCTTGTGTTGGTAGAATACCTCCAGTCATACTGCAGCCCACTGCCGTACATTTCTGTGGCTTTGTCCGTCAACATTCATGGACAGCTGAAAGTGCATGGATGGTTGCCTGAATAATGAGGTGAACAAAAGACATCTTTCATGTAGACATTAGTCTGTCATGTTGCAGGTAACAAGATATTAACCATGAGTTATAGACTGACAACAGTAATGCTACAAAATATTTTCATGTGATACATAAACATTTTCAGAACGTACCTCTGGCAGAAGCACATCCATCATGAATGCCACTTGATTGTGACATCTGGTTGTCTGTGCTTCAACCAGGCTTGTCAAGAAGCCCATCACTCTGTCCAGCTGCTCATCCTCCTCAAAGAAAATGTCCACCCTGCCCTTTGATGAAGCCCAGGTGGACGACACTTTTCCTGCGATGATTGCCTGTAAATAGAGATATTTTTGGAGGATGCTCAAAGTAAATGTCCAAACACTAGGTTAGCAGAAAATGATTCACTTAAATAATTCATGAGTCATGTTTTGACTGAAATTAGTCACAGTGTGCAAATTTAATTATAAATTTAAAACTCACTTCCAGATGTAGCAGTAGGCCTTTATCCTGAGTGATAAATGATATAAGAAGATCACTGCTGACTCTTCTTTGGTCTTCAGCTTGCTGAGCCCTTTCCTAAAATTAGATAAGAAACCATTTAGATGCTGAACAGAATTATTCTGGTTAAGCAGATTAAATAAGATAAGTTGTTTCTTGGTCCTTTGCATGTCCTTACCACAAGCCTGTCGTAAGACACGTCTTTACTTAGGATCCCAACATCTCTGGTTGTGGTGACCACGTTGTGTTGGTCCATGCCGTCATTGTCCTTAATCAAGACACACAAAAACATGACTTCATGCACAGCAGTTAAAATTAATTTTATTTTGTTGTCATGCAATAATCTTCACTCATATTCATTTTTTTTTTTACCGTGTCCTGTCTGGCTGTGAAGCAAGCAGATTTGATGTCTGAATGCTGGTAACAAGCCTTACAGATTTACTCTCAGGTGGAGCATCAAGGCGTTTGCTTTTAATGTCACGCCTGATACTTAAAACTTTATTGTTATTGTTTTTGAATGCTTTGTAATTCTGACCAGACACGGAGACAGAGGTGAAAGAGAAAGGAAAAGAAAAGGTGGGGAGAGGGGAGGAGGAGGAGGAGGGGGTGGGGGGTGGGGGTGGGGGGGCACACAAATAAACAATAATGAACAAGAGTCTGCTTCTAGACCTAGAAGAATTCCATCCCTGAAAGTGGTGACCTATTTTCAAACAGGCAGGAGTAAGGTCTTCACTGACCATTAGGGCTGTCGCGGTAACCGCAAAAATGAAATATCGCAATATGAAGAAGCCCACCGCGCTGCATCATGGGCCACCGCGATTACTGAACTTGGTTCAACTCAGTGATGCATGTTGAGAAGGACGGCTGCACTGGTATCAAAACGAAACGTTACTTCGCTCCTTTGGGAGCACTTTGGTTTTCAGTACGTCAGCTGCTGCGCAGCCAGAGTCCTTGGCCGAGACAGAGCTGCCACCAGCGGCAAAAAATAATAATAAATGCTCGGAGACCTGCTGAAGTCCCGGACAAGCACTGCTTCTGCAACCGTCCCGAAGAGAGTTTGAGCCAAGCTGGAGCTCACTCGCTACCTGCAGGAGGAATGCATCCACCCTAAAGAAACCCCCGTGACACAGTGGAGCAACAACCGGGAGAGATTCCCTTTGCTCGCCAGAGTCGCACGCAAGTACGTGTGCGTTAGTGCAACGAGCACACCATCCGAGAGGGTTTTCAGTGTTGCTGGAGTTGCCACCCCTCTCAGATCCTCTCTCAAAGCGTATATGGTTATCATGGTTTTCCTTGTGGGTAACAAGGACGTGACCGAGCTATAAAGCACCGTCATTCGTGTGTGTGAAAGTGAAAGTGAAATGATAGTGCCCCGTGCCCGGTACATGTAATTTTTTATGCTTGATTTTAAACAACTAAACAAAATGGGGACTTGTTTCTTATTTGTTAGATGCTGCAGCCAAATTTGCATTTAAAAGTTTAACCTTCTCCTGAATTTTGTTGTTTTTAAGTTCAGTCGGACTCCGACTGTCGGAGAAACAAACGTTACTGCGATCTGTGTTGTTACTGCCCTTTGATCTGCATTCAGTAAAGTGTTATAAAAGAAGGCACGGCAATTTTTAACCTTTTTTAAATCTGTAAACATTATGTTTAGATAGTACTGCAATAAAAAAAAAGTGCTGCAATAATATCGCACACCGCAACATTAAGCCACCCTGAATCACCGCAGGGGGAATTCCTCAACTGCGACAGCCCTACTGACCATGGTGCTGCTTTCATGTTTTCTTTTTCTTTTTATCCTGAATACGAAACGTTACCGTCAGACAGAGGTGGAAAGAGTACTAAAATGTCCTACTTAAGTACGAGTGCCAATACTTTGATAATTTTTTACTCAATTACAAGTAAAAGTACTTGCCTAAATTTTTACTCAATTAAAAGTAAAAAGTATCGTAAACAAAATGTACTCAAAGTAAAAGTTACTTAGTTACATTTTTGTCAGCGTAAGGATGGCTACATCTAAGTAGTGCTAAATCACAACGCCAGTTCACAATTCGCTCGTGTGCGCGCTCACACATGCACAGCTTGAAGGAGGGATTTCTATCCAATCAGTGAGAACAGGACGTGCACATTGATTGGACGAGGTCTTTCTACAATTGTTTCAATTGTGATTCAAATTATTCTTTATTTTGAGGAAAAATAATATTTTTAGATGCCATCAGTATGTGAGCTATCTCAGTGTTTTCATGACAAAACTCTAACATGAGACTGTGCTCTAACCTGTCACATAACAAGCCAAATGCAGTCAAACATTTCAGATGGACCGTATGACAGCTGTTAACGTTGGCCCTGCCCTGCTTTACCTCTACATTACAGTTCCTTTATTCGTGTCCATCCTAGAGCTCCTCTCTGACCTTCATGCTTATTTAGAGCAGCTGATTTTTAAAGTTAGCGTTCATCCTTGGTGGTGGGTTCACTCACTCATTTAACCCTTCACCACTGAAATCAGTTTGTTCATTCCAGTCCTCCTAAATAATCCTCCAATCATCCGACTGGAATCCTTAAGGGTCCCGTAATGTCCATCCTGTCAGAACAGGCCTTGGGAGCCCAGGTGTTACTAGAACTAATGGTGTCTCCTCACCAGCGTGAGCCTCCAATCTGTGAAGGTTGGACTCCAAACATAACTTTAAATTCATGCATTTATCTCCTCTTGTAACACTTTAACATGTTTTAAAAGGCTTGTATCATGATATGTTACACCTCCCAGACCAAAGATAAGATAAAACATTATCATAGACACTATTAAGACGTCATTATTTATGAAATATAAGTTATTTTCCTGAGCCATTACTTCAGCCAAGATATAAGATGCGTGGATTTGATGAAACCACGCTGTCTCATGCAGTTCTATATGTGTAACACACACACACACACATGCACCCATGCACATGCACACGCAAGCGCGTGCGCACTCACACACTGCAGCATGTTAGAATCATTTGAATGACTAATTTAACTACACTGAACTGCTTTTGTAATAATTTAATCTCTTATTCTGGAGTAAAATAAGGAAACAAGCTAAATCATCACATATCTGTGGCATCAAGGAGCATCTTCTGAGTTCAAACACAGGGATGGAGCACAATGTTTACACCTGAACAGTATCAGGATGCTTTAACTAACAGAGGCCTGCAGGTCTTCTGTTTTATGAGCAGAGCGCTGATAATCCGCTTCTTAGGAGCGCTAAACGTAATTTTGCCGCTGCCGTGCGGAGCGGTAGAGAAACACGTTTCAAACACGGAACCGAGTCCGGCTACCGAACCGAGCAGAATTCTGATGACGTCACACCGGTGCACGAAGGTGCGGGATCCAACCCACAGGAGAGGAGGGAGAGAGGAGGTAAACTGCGAGTTGAGGAACTGAACTGATGTCTTTGAGCAAAAGTGTACACCCCCACCCCACCCCCACCCCCCACGGTTTAGACGTGGCGCTCATGCAGGTGTCTCTTTCCGTTCCGACGCTGCTACACGTAATATTTTTAATTTATTAAGCCTATAATTATTTTTACTCAGTAACGGATATGATTTAAAATGTAGCGTGTTACGTCCTGGCTATGCTAGGAAGGTAAGGAGGTAACATAAACCCATGACCAGATGGAATGGGAGGAGTACATGCATTTAATAAAGAAAATCAGCGGATAAATAAACTTACAATATACAGATAAATACTAACAGAGACAAACCTTACCAAACAAACAGGGCATTCACAATATTAACTTGAAGCTCTCATAGCTGTGAATATACCAGACAAAAAAACACAGGCTCAGAAGGACTTCAACTGAAAGAGGCAATAGCATTTACTATCCCTAAATCCAACCAGAGAAGCTTTAACTCTACACAAACCACCTTTAGGTCTAACCAAGCTTCTAAACAACAATATCTCACTAGTAATCCTTCACAGTAGTTTAACAGCACAAAGTCCCAACAAAGCTGACCAAGTGGGGGAAACAGCACACCATCAGCTGCTCCCCAACTGTAGGCAGATCAGGAAGTATCTTATATGCCACCCAGCAGCTGATTTCTGGATGATTCCCAGCTTGTCCCAGGTGATGGGTGGTAGAACCAGGAACAAAGCCAATTGAATCCCCTGGCTGCAGGCTGAAGAATCTTGAGAGCTGGGCTGTACACTCAGATAAAAACAAAACAAGTACAGCAACTTTTCTAGAGGCATGAAACCAGGGATCGTATCATAGCGAATTACAATTCTTTTTTTTTAAACTCATTCAGATAAAAGTAAAAGTACAGCTTTTAAAAACGACTTAAAAAGTATAAATATACAAAAAAGCTACTCAATTACAGTAATGTGAGTAAATGTAATTCGTTACTTTCCACCTCTGCCGTCAGACTAATATTTACTGGATGCTATACACGCAACTACTTGTCAAAAAAACTATAATAGATGTAAATGTTGACATGTAAAAATATATCTGAATGGATTTTAAGGGAATTTTCTGTTATATGTTTTAACAAATTTTACACGTCTGAGCGCGACAATTTTCTGCCTACCACATTGCCGTCATGAGTTTGCTGCTTAGTAGATGAGGAGTCATAAACGGTCAAATAAATAGCCTATAGTTACGTTTATTTTGGCCAAAAGGCTTGCATGTAGCCCATTAAAAACGATATAAAAATATTTTGCGTCCATGACGTCTTCCCCCACTGCCAATAATGCTTAATTTTATATAAAAGTGTTTCAGAAAAAAATCACTAATGCGCTATCTATCAAACTATGTCTTAAACGTTCAAATTTAAAGTAAAAATCTTCGCAAGTTGTAAAAATATAAACCTGTCTTTACCTGAACCGTCATCTCCATCTGTTGCAACACGCATGCGAGTTCTCTTGTCTTCGAACATGCAGGCGTCTTTTGTACTGTAAGGAAAGTAGCAGTGGGCAGCACGGGCAGAATATCTGGCCCTCCAGTCAGAACCCGAAAACACCACCAGTAGGCAATAATTTATAAAAGGATATGCTTTATTATACAATATGCTAAAACACCATAATAGAACCCAATAATAAAACAGTATACTAAAACACTGTGGCCAAAGTCTCCATTCCTAAATTCAGCTGTCCAGCATATACACACAAGCAGCGGTACTTAGCTGTCACGGATGGTGTGACCCCTCTCCCCGGGGTCTGAGCTTCCAGCACCGTCCAACGCCCCGGGATGTAGCTTGCGAGGACGGCTGGTAAATCCGCAAAGTAAATCCACTGCCAGAGTCCGTAGCGGCAGATGTCGGCGTGGTCTTGGCATCACCTAAGCCCAGCCCTTGCTGTCTAAAGAAGGCGACCAGCCTTCCCTCCTGACGCTGGAACTCGAAACA